AGCATGATTAGAAACAATAGGCTAGGCTAGGTGGGATTAGAATAAACAGTCTGAACAATTAAACAGGAAGGCCAAAACTAAACATTAGAGGCGTGCCTCTATATATATATATATATATATATGCCGGTATTATTAATAAAATAGGTAATTAGCATCATACACTAACAATTAGGACTTTAACAAATGAAAATAACAACATATTTATAATAGGCAAATAATAATAATAAAATTAATAGGTTTACTACACTCCTACCAATATTTATAGTAGTAATATGTTTACTACTGCTATAATAAAAATAATATTAACAATAACATTATCAATAATACTCACAACAACAACAGTAACAATAATCAATACGGTAATCATTATAATAATTATAGGCCAATAGTAGAACAGTAATACCGCTTTAAAATAAAAATATAATATAATAATACAAAGTAATGTAGACCTATGCTTACTAATATAATTGTCCTGATGAAATTTCGAAGCTTCAGTATTTTAACATACGCGTCATTTCGTTGAAAAGGAGGCAGGCTGTGGTCCCGATAGACAAACTTCAGCCAATTCTCAACTTCCTGTGACAGATTGTTACCAATGATAATTCGCCTTTCCGATCAGTTGTATCCATTATTTCATCTTTAATAGCCCAGTAATTAAACAATTAAGTATAACATCAATCAGTATATGACGGTACGGGGATATTGGGCAAGCCCTGGACCAGCTGTGCGTGACGAAAGTGGGTCGGTACCGGCATTCAGGTCACAGAGAGTTTTGATTTTATTCCCCTCCTTTCAACTGCGAATTAACTTTTGCAAATAAGGTTAGAGAGCGTGAATAAATTTCCAGTTGATTTGCAGAAAGAGATGAGTGAAAGCGACTGAAATTCATTGCAGGTTATGAATCTGGCGCATCTTTAGGGATTTGAACCCGGTTTTTATTGGTAGATTTGACTCAGTTTCCACCGTGAGGGGATATCTAGTAGCAAATACAATTACTGGTTAATGAATGTGACATGGTTGTTGTGTCACGTGGTGTCAACCATTTGACCCTAACATTATATTATACCGTATCTATTGCAATGTTCGTTTATTTATGTTTTTGCATTTTCGAAATGTGTAGGCCTTCATAGTTTCTTTGAAAAAAGTAAAATGATGTATTAAATATCACACAAAACAGATAGTTTCGAACAGCATTCTTAACAATTTAATACAGTATATAAGGTATGTTTTGTGACTAGCTTTTTTTATTCAATCAATTTTGACAACAGATTTTATTAATAGTTTTTGAGTAAAAAAGGTCTTTCGGCCTATTTTTAGTTGTTTTAAAATACAATACTAGGTTCTACAAGCGAATAGTTAGGGTTTCTTCTTAGACCTATGTCACTGGTAATCATGAAAACTCCGATCGAATCACAAGCTTTCATTTAGGCTTTTTGAAAATTTTAAATTGCTTTCAATAAGACCAAATCGAAACAATACTTTGACATACATTCAAATATATTTATTTAAACTGCCATTAATCCAATTGAAGAGACTATATACGAAAAATATGAAACTGTGTTTTATTAATGTCGGTCTACGTTTGTGAGGAAAATATTTTTTAAACACCTTATTGAATAAAAGGTGATAGCTTAATAATATACAAAAATACAGTAAGTGATTCAAATCATCGTATAGTGTATTAACTCAACAAAGGAAGAAACAATCTTTCAAACAAAAAACCATGATGATCAAACAATTTCATCTGATTTCAAAATCGTGTAATGTAATTGAGTATTGGTAGTTTTGATAAGGCCTATTTGTGAGTGCTGGTCATCAATAGAACATTTTGTAACTAATTCATTTTCCAGTTAATTTATTCAACATATATTCGACCATTTATAAACATGCATGGAAATTAAACAAATCAAAGTTACAGATGCATAGAAAATGGTCAAGGGAGGACTTAGAAACTCTTATGAGTCTGTCACTGTTGCCCCTTTTCAAAGACATTCCCTAACTCATTTTTTCCCCATATTATTCAGTTAGAATCTTCAATGGCTGGTTGGCTTAACGCATTATCTTTATGTAATGTTTTGTTTTATGAGACTTTATGTTAACATTATTTATCATTATTATTGTGTTTTGAAGTTTCCATTGGTTTTAGTTTACGTGGGTCATTGGTTTTCAATAAAGGTCAGTTTAAAATTTGGTTTGAGTTGTTTTAATGTGTGTGCATAATTATGTTACAATACAACATCGTTCCAAATTTAGAATACTATTAAACAAGACAGCAGGCGGTAAATGGTGAATTTTTGTAACATTTAAATAATTAAACAAATATTGAAAACCTCACACATATTCATAGGCCTATTTATGTCACATTAGTGCCAACTTAGGCCTATTACATTATATACCTAAACTTTTTCCGGTATCAAATTACATGCCTATGAAAAGCGATGTGGACGGTCTGAACACATTTGTGTACAATATTATATTCAGGGTTTTAGTTATTAGGCCAATGCAGTTTTTACAATGTATAATTTAATTTATTTGTAGCCTATATAATTGTGATTAATTATATATTAAAAACAATCTTAGATGTTAATAAAATCGAATTTGATTTCCATTTATTACGTATGACAATTATTTTTCTTGCAAAATTCACTAATCGGATGAGGTTTAATTCAAATGCCACATTTCTTTTTATTGTAAAGACGTGTTACACTTTCAGCCAGAGGCGTGAAATTTGTCTGCATTAACTTTAAGAAACCAACAAGCCCGCCGCACCATATGGGTAAATGGACGATTGAGTTTGCTAATGATTTCAATTCCCCGTAGGCATTCCTCTACTTTCTTCCTTGGCACTTGATGACTTCCCATACGCCGAGCGAGTTAAACTATTGCAACAAAACAACCATTTTAAATCTTATTTACTGGAATAATTCTACGATGTTTGTGTTTTTTCATCTCGCAGTTCCCTCCAGACGATCGTATCTTGTATTTAAACGTCTCGTTACTTTTTAGCATCGTCCTATAACCACAGATTTACTCCGGAAGCGGTCTCCGAATTTTTCGCTCATCATGGATCGTTAGTGCGCATGTCCGAATAAGCGATCCGAAAGAGAAAAGTACAGTAAGCTGTCTTCTGGGGCCAGCCTTCAGCAGACTTTAAGTATTTGTTGTAGATACTAAACAGTGAAGCAACTAGAAGAGATTAGGCGAGCGAATGCTACGGGCAAGATGACATCGGCGAGCCAACTATCACACAGAACACAGACCCACCTCAGTTCTTGCCGCTTCTACGATTCTCCTCAATATAACGGATTTGCGAACTATGATCAGTTTTACCAAGATAATGATCATTATTCGTCATACGCTAAGTATCCAAAAAGTCCGCTGACGGACGAGTTGTACGATAACGACGGAAACTGTGAAAATGACGACGAATGTTGGCAGCGTGATGAGAATCCTGACCATGTGTTGAATCCTGGTCAAGCGAGACATGGACCACGCAGCTGTCTGCTATGGGCCTGCAAAGCTTGTAAAAAACAGTCACACAGTTTGGACAAACGCCGCGCAGCGACGATGCGGGAACGTCGGAGATTAGGTAAGGTGAATGCGGCATTTGAAACATTAAAACGACACACCTGTCCGAATCCCGATCAGCGAATCCCAAAAGTTATGATACTACGACATGCCATTCAATATATTGATAGACTCCAAATGATCCTACACCAAAGCGAACAGCCCGATTCAGATACTGCGAGGGAATCTCCTCTTCACAGGGTAAGTAGTATTTTTTTCAACTTTATAACTTTTGTCCTTTAAGTGAAACTTTCATCTAACATTGAATCTTTGTACATGTATTCTTTCTTAAATATACAAAATAAATTAAGCTCATTGTTTTTTGTATTTCGGCCATAATTGGGCCTACATTTGAAAAATATAAATCAGTATCTTATGTTTATAAAAAAGACTAAAACATCAGGTTTCAGTTGAAACTTAGAACAAATAAATATTTTCTGCGCCTGCAAACGCATAAATGCACTGCACCTATGTACCGTATTTTTACGGACTGAAGACTTGACTGGTACTCAACTAAAATGATTTTTGGTAGTAAACTGCTGAACATCAATAGACATTAAATTAGTTGCTTTAATATGTATTTTATTTGATGTTGAGAAACTATTTGATACTTTTAAGTTAAAGCAATTTAATTTTGATTATTTTTTTCTGCGGTTTTCAAGACAAAAACACAAATTATAAATATATTTAAATCGTTCTTTTTTTTTTTTAAGAAAGCGCTACCAATGTCACAGCAACAAAAAAAAAAACAACTTCACAATGCAAAGTGTGTGCACTCTCTTATACTTAGCACTAGCAGTAATGAATATGATGTGGTGGTGACGATGGCGATGACGGTGGTGGTTATTAACGATTACGATGTGATGATAAATGATAAGGCTAATAAGACCTAACATTATAACAATATTATCAACAATAATAATAACAGTAATAATAATGATAAAACAATAATAATAAATGATTATAATATTAAAAAATAAAAACATTTTACATTTACATTAATTATGATGATAATAAAAATAAAATTTTACTTATATTAATAATGATAATGATAATGATCGCTAATTAATGATAATAGTAGTAGTAGTAATAATAATAATAATAATAATAATAATAATAATAATAATAATAATAATAATAATAATAATAATGATAAAGATAATATAGCATTTTGAAATGAACATCATCAAAAGAAAGATATGTATTCTAGTAGAAAATTGGTCCTGTTTGTAGAACCCAGCATCCTCCTCAAAAAGAGTACAGTACAAACAAGGAAAGCATCGGCGGTTCAGGGTCGGTATCGTTCTGATGTCCAAACCAAAGGCTGAGCATTTGATGATTTACGTGCGGAACATTAACGTACTTAATGATTTTAATGGGATAATTTGCAAATGAAAATTCCACATGTACGCGGGAAGCCATTGAGGTACAGTGCAATAAGGAATGATTGTACCTCTACTTCCAACAAACTTCCACTTTCTACAAGGGCCATTGTTTACCAATGCATCCATTAGTGATAATGCTGTTTTATGTGGACTGTATACTGGTTCCGAATATTAGACATTTTTGTACCGCTGCTAGCCAAGACCGTTTGTTTCATTTTCATTCTCGTTTACTTTTGAAAAAGAGGAAGATTTGCTTAATATTCTTTTTATATATTTACAAACAGTATGACTACCAAATAGACACATAGCATATTTAGATCTTGTTCAGGCATAGACGATTTTTTTGTTTACTATTAATATGTGTTTAGATGTCGGAGTTTGAAAGTGGATGGAAGATGAGAATTACGTGTTTATAATTTGCCTAATTATGATCGTCAATTTTTGTGTGCTTTATACGATCACCTCTGCGTTCAGAACCTTATGATCTTTTGTATTGTTAATGTTTATGTAGACTAATTTGTACGAATAGTAGATATTATAAGGCATAGACACACTATGTATATTCAAATTCAGTTTAAAGTATTTCATTCATCAATAAAATTTGACAATGTAGTTGAAAATACATATACATAACAATAAACATATAATTATCTGATTTAATTTCCATAATCAAATTCGTCATCATTATAGTACAACACAATGCTTATTAAGATTTTCAAAGATTAACTACATCTGTAACTATATGTTCAACTTGAGTTGTATCTGACACTATATTATTATATTGAGGATTGGTGATTATATACTGTAGTCTATAACAACCAAAGCGTAACTTTATGTCAAAAAGGTAATTTAGATTTTAGGTTAACACGCACTCAAATTTCATTGCACCATCTGCGTTCTATTTATTTCTGCGATTTTAACGTTCCACTCTTGATTGAGTACACTTTCTTGAATATTATTCATAAAATAAAGATATCATTAAGAAAAAAAATCACTATTTACCAATTTACTGTATAGGGCCCCCTATGCGTGGTTTGTATGTTCTTGTTTTGACTTAATTACCAGTTTAGAAAACAAAACGTCCTTGATTTATCTCGTAATGGCCTACTTTTTAAAAACTTGTATTTATGGAATTGTTTTGATGAAGCCTTCCTTTCTTAATGTGGTACAGTACAGTGGCTGCGTAATACTAACTTGATCTTGGAACCTCTCCCATCCCGCCCTTACTCTTATACAATGCTCCCCCTTACGACGATGAATAGTTGGCCTGTTTGTTACCAGTACGTCATCTTGAAGCATATTCTCATAATTCATTTTCATGTATACATGACGGATCCCAAACAGTTAGAACCTGTGATCTACATACAAACTACGAATGCAAATTGTGAATGAACCAACGGCTCCTGTGTTGAGAGTAACATTGTAAAAACAGCCTAGTGAGACTAAGCTGTGACCCCATCCTCTTTATGGAAAGTTCACGCCCATATCTTAGTCACTTATAATTATTGAGTGGATGGAGCAGACAACGGTTTCATATCTTATCTATCACAAATATTGAATTAAATGAAATCTAGCCCGCCGCTTTGCTAAACTTCACCATTTCCAAGGTCCTGTACAGGAGATTGTAGGCCTACAGTAATTCATCTTAACAAGCTGTAGCAAGTGCTCCGTATGATCGTTAACCAATTCGGAAGTGAATTTACTAGATTCAATATTATTCATACTTTACAGTATGCTCGTTCTTTTTCTGTGATAGTTTTCAACGAAAAGGAGAAATATAAAAGCCCAGAATGTTTAGATCACCTGCCAATTTGTAAATATTGTACCGAGTGTTACTCGTTAGGCCCAATAATTTCATTTGTTGTTTTAATGCCAGTGTTCTTGTCAACGAATGACTAATATAGATGAAATCTAATTTTATTTTTTTTCAATTTGATTTGTGATAATTGAAGAATCAAAGTTTGAGAAAATTCGAAGGCATCATAATCAGAAATTACGAGTATGGAGTATGGAGAAAGACCGCTTTCTTGCCCATGAGAATTAAACAAGCCTACGATGAATAAAAAACAATGTTAAAAAGTCATTAAGATTACACTAGAGACATCATCAAGCGCAAGCTAGATTGTTAAGCTGCAGAGTCGCTGTCCAATCCAAAACCCTGTTGGTTAGTCTATATACGCCTACATATCGTACAGTACTCCCTATTTACTTTACAAAATTGAGGGAGATGGCTTCCATCACTTTGTCTCTTGAGGTAGTTCTTCGAGAAAAAAAAAATGTTTAATGAATTCTGCAAAATTGTATTAACGCCACTTTCTCAGGAAAATAAAATTATGATGGGTGGGGGATGGGGGTGGCTGGAGTTGGCTCATAATGTTTATCCTGATAATAAAATTTAAGCCGATAAGTGCCTGTCTTGTGATTGGCTGTGCAGCGCGAAGCCTCATTTACATTTCTATGCGCGCTCGCAAACAGGAGGATCCATAAATCCATAAATAGTATGAAGAATATGAAATATAATAATAGGCCTAAAAACCAAAAAATATTAATATTATTAGGCATATTAATGCTTTTATGTAGCACAAACTACAAATAATTTTTCTTGACATCATAATTATCCACGTTTGTAACTTCTAAGGTTGCTGAACTCAAAAGCGAAATCATAAATGAAGAACGTATTGATTGTTGAAATTCCAAACGTGCTCATCTGTTGCTGTCATTAATTAATCTGTCTGCTAATTACCAGTCATCACGTCTTAACTGTTTTGAGGTTGGTGTCGATTCTACTATAAACGGTAGTCCGACATTTAAAAGTTGTAGTATTACCGTACGTGTGAATTATATTCATTTTAAAAAGTAGTTTGGATATGTAAGCCTACAAGTTATCTACAATCAATTATTTTAAAATACGTTTATTCCGACAGCAATACATTTATTTAACTGTAGCCTTTACTCTACCTAAAAGATCACTATCGATTAAATCTTGTATTAATTTTACGAATTATATTCGTTTGTTTTAGATAGAACTACTTTTCTCTGCGGAATAATTTATTGCTGCAATTGGTATGGTAGATAGATTAAAGTGCAACAAAGTAGGCATATCTGTCTGCGGAATAATGCGGAGCGCTTTATAAACCTAGTTAACGTTTCCCCAATTACCCACAACATTTCCGAGTAGTCTTGTAACGATACAATACAAGAAATAGCATCCCTGGTCAAGGTCAGCGACTGGACTGCAAAGCTGACAATCAAGTCCATAATCACCGGTAAAATTGTTCGACAAGTTGCTGTGTTTGTGTGTAGAGTGGAGCATAAGGAAATATATTGGGACAATTTATGGAAAGAATCAAAGGCATTATATTGGGCGTATATAAGCATATATTTGAGATTTTATTTATATAAAAATTACATTTGCATAGTAGACAAGGTTAAAATGCAATCTTTAAGACTTAGTCAAAATGTACAGTAATTTATTTAATAATTTAACTATAATTTCTTTATTTATTTTGATTTAATTTAATTGCTTATTTAGGCCAAGGCTTTTTATTTAGAACTAAGTTTGGGTCCTCTGACTGAGCCTATTTCATAAATATAGGCCTTAATTTATATACAGTAGTCAGCCAATACTCAAAACAAATAACAGCATAATATGTATAGGTTTATAGAAGTGTTGTTGTAGGGCCATTTCGTTGAAACGACCGATCATATACTCTGTGAAACTGTATGGCTATGGTGAAACCATCGTCGACTCTTACATGTGTAGATCTAGTCGCTGTCAAAGTCGGTGCTTACAGCCACGTATAGGCCTATCACCTG